TGAGATTGCCTCGGATATGAAAGTTAGCTGGGGCTCAAAAACCGAAGGCTGGTGGCTCGATCCTATGGACGATCAGCCTCTGTCTGAACCCCAAGTGGCATGGAGACACAAGGAGACTGCAATCAGAGTGTTGGGGGTGAACCTTACCGTTATGGGCCCACCCCCAGACTGCGGCGAGGACCTTATAGAGCTTGCCATCCAAAAGTTCACTCACTGGGATGCTAAACATACATCGTTAGTAGGGAGAGTTATGGTCATTAAAAATGTCATCTTCACTTCTATACGGTACAAGGTTGCCTTTTGGCAACTCAACCATAAACAGATCTTGTAACTCAAACAGGCAGCATCAGCCTACCCATGGAAAAATGATCATAATGATGGCCACGCAATAAAGAAGTGGCTTGGAACACTATAATAGAACCTAGAACGCAAGGCGGTCTGGGAATCATCGATCCGGAGGAAGAGATGAAAGCACTCATCTTCAGATTTCTAGTCCGCCTCCTTCTTGGAAATGATATTCCTTGGGTCGTCTATGCACAAATCCAACTGACCTGTTTGGCCCCCCCATCTCATCCCCTCCACCTGGTGCACCCTCTCCAATGGTTCACAAACAAATGGTGGTCCATCTTTCGCTGCCCCCACTCAGATACAGATGACACCCCTGCAGGGCTCGCCAAGCGAGACCTCAAGGTGGATCCGCTCTGGACAACCATGATATCTCTATGGAGAGAAAGGGGTCCGACCTAGACACCCACACCACTCACATGAGAGGAAATTTGGCGCCAACCTTTGTTTGGTCATGCACAGGTTGTGGATCATATTGGTTTTCCCCTCAAAGGGAACTCTAAGTGGAAACGCTGGGTGAAGAAGGGTATTTACAAAGTTGGGGACGTATGGGATAGCCTTGCTTGCTCATGGCACTCGTTGGCATATCTCAAGCCCAGAACCGGCCAGCTCTTGAACGTGGCCCAGGGGCTGCAAGAAAGTAAGCAATAACCACTGGCCCAGAAAACAACGAACATCAATCCCAGTGCTTTACGATGTATCAAATGGGACGCTGGGCCCAGTTTCCAGCAGGTGCCGCTCCCCACCAATAGATGGAGCAGCCCGATAGGTAAGCCCTCAATTCTAACGGTTCTCCTACCACCGCCAGGATAAAGGGATATAACAAGGGCAATTCAAAAAAAAAAAAAAAAAAAAAAAAAAGCATGGGTCCGAATCTTGAAATTGGGTCCCCACCTCGACGATAACGACTAGGTGGTGAAGACGGAATCTATGGCCCTACCCATGCTCCTGTATAGAGTACAAAGCACAGGGGACCTCCAGGTTTCCCTTCATGCTTACTGCCCGATCCTGCCAGGAGCCAAATGGTCAGCCCTTCATCGATAGGAAGAGTTGGACACACAACTACCGGCGTCGTCCCTTGCCAGAATCAGGGTGGTTGGAAATCAAGACAAAGGCTTCTTCCAATACGAACTTTCCACCCCGCTGGACCATCTCCCATTTGATCCAGCAGAATGGGAATGGACATGGGGAGGATCTCAAATAATGTCCTTGTGGCAATACATGGTGAAGAAGGGCTATAGAACAGCACGGAAACCGGCTAAGATCACAGATCAAATCATTAAGCGGTGGGAGAGAGACTCCCCGCTGGAGCCACAAGACTTCAGATACTTCAGGTGGTCCGCAATTTCTCGCATCCGTCCGACTAGCCACAGAGTCCTCCAATGGCAAATCATACACAGATGTTTGCCTACCCCAGACTGGATCACATCACGCACTAACTTGGAGGAAAAAGGTATGCTCTCCCCACTGTGTTCATACTGCTCCCACACACTTCCCAACAAAAGAGCTACTCTGGAGCACTGCTTGTTGGAACGCCCCATGGTGCTTCAACTGTGGAGGTGGTGGGACAATGTGGCACTACTTCACTGATCACCACCTCCCCTGGGAAATACCCACCCTACTATTAGGGACTCCCACGACAGCGTCCAGGGCATGGACCCCGTTCATGGCTAATCTCTTCACATACTCCAGACTAACTGTGCTCATGGCAGCCTGGAGGATGCCCGCCTCCTATGAGAGAAAAAACCATAACTATGGCTTTATGCAGGCCCGGTCAATGATTCCAGACACGATTTCTGCCCACACTCAGGCAGACTGGAAACATTTGCAGCTCAACTTGGTCGTTGAGCCAAACATTGAGAAAAAACAAGAGCTATGGAGACATGGACTGATCCAAACCAGAGGCTCTGCAGTCTCAATGATGATAACACCCTCACATGGCATCCCTGGCTGCCCTCAGAGAGACTATGGGAAAGACTGCCAACACTCCACTTCCAAGTAACTCGTCAACCAACGAACTTTGTCCTCATCTATGCCTGACCGTCCGTCTGTTACTGCCAAAATCCAGGTAATCTGGGTATCCCTCTCCCTCTCTTCTCCATCACCCCCAGCACCTTCCCATCCCCCTTTTCCCCACACTTCCCTCTTTCCCCTCCTCCCCGCCTCCCCTCCCCCTAGTCGGCCAGGGATTGACTGTTTTGAAGCTCTAACCTGAAGAGAGGCCAGAGGAGAAAGGGTCTACTCAGTTGAAGTCGGGTATCATACAATATGTTCAAATGCTGCTCAACAATACGATTTAGTACACCATAGCCAAATACTGTAAAATGCATTCATAGATTGCACCAACTCCACGACACCATGTAGTTAGTAACTTACACATTACACACTTGACATACATGAACTCATACATCAGGCATAAGAAATCAGGAATCAGAACTTAGCACTCAATACAGCACTGTCAATACTGTCAAGCACTGTCAAACGCCGCTTAATAGTACGACCTTGTACAACATTACTAATGCTACTAATTGCAAACACAGATAGACAAGGATAGACATAGATAGTACTGTATTATAGGCCTACAAACACACGCTACGTTACATTCAATACATGTACCATATGCCTACAAACGGGCACACTATATTACACACAAAATATGTCAGTCTACTAGTCTATTAGCCCACAGCATGCGACCAGTTCCTTTATTGTCTGTCATTTCCAAGAATCCTGGGTATTTGTAACATGGGACGCTAGGCCCGCTTCCCAGCAGGTGCTGCTCCCCACCAATAGATGGAGCCCCCCCCGGACCAGCTTGACGTCAAATTCGACCTTGAGCACTCCTTTTCCAAGGTCAGTTCTTTCATTATACGACAGACTATAGGAATACCTATGGGGAAATGCTCCAGTCCATCTCTCGCTTGTCTCCTTTGCGCTCGCATGGAGTTCTGTTTTCTGCAATCTCTGGGACGGGACCGGCAACTGGTAGCCGGCTTTAGGCTCGTGGATGATGTGGCCCTGTTTCTTCTTGCCCGCAACTCTTCTCAGGCTAGTATTATCAAAGTACGTGAGATCTTTAGCAGATTTCTGTTAGTCTACGGTAAAAATCTCACCTTGGTTAGAACAGATGAGCGGGATAGTAACTTCGATTTCTTAGGCTGCAGAGTGGTTTCTCAAGTATGCCCCCCGGATATAAGATGTGAAGCTCTGATGAAAAACCAGAGGGACATTTGGGAGAAGAATAAGATCACGTTCCAGTCCACACAGGACTTTTTTTCGTACGGTCCGAGAACCCAGAAAATGGGACTGATTAAATGCCACCTCAGCCGGATTCTCGCCCACTCCTCCGATTCTAGGGGAGTGGGTATGTGTCTGATATCTCGAAGGAAGGAACTATGTCTAYGGCATTTTCCGAAACGAATGTTCTTGAAGGCCCTCCGTGAATTCTCCACGGTAAAGGAGGGATGTTGGGATAAATGGGTAACTTTTTTCACTGAAGGATTGACGGGGTAGCAGAGACTGCCTTACCTACRGACAAGGTCCGAGGCAGGMYCACGCGACAATATTTTGACATMTGAGTTCCTGTAGATCTGCTGTTYTGCGAATCTTTGTCTTTTCCCCCCTCAATCTTTGTCTCTTCCCCTCGCTATCTTCTCTTCCSTATCCTYAATCTAATCCGGTTACCACGACATCACGTCTYTGTCTTTGTACCAAATCTGATACCTAGYTGAACCTCCCTCCGAAAGTAAACGTGGGTRACTACCTGGTCCATACTWTGTGYTGTATTCCTTTCTCACGACCTTCCCGCTTTCTTYTCCCTGCGCTGTTTCTGACCTGTCCTATTATGGGTTGGGTACCGTGTCTTTCATGAGGCACATCGATGGAGTTTAACGTGGCGGGACGATCGTCCGCCCTGAGGAAAGAGGCATGMCTACTCATKACGATACTCTATTTATTAAGCTGGAGGAGATCGTAGGACATAGCGCARCCCCTGATGATGGCCATTTTTGGCGAGGTGGCCGAAACATGTCGGGCATAATCGCCGACCTCGCTGTTTACGCTTCATGTAAATTTTTTTTATAAGCGAGGTGCTCCTTTTTGCGCTATTTTCGAGTGTATCTCTCTTCTCTACTCTTCTACTCTTTTCTCTCCTCTTCTTCTCCCCTCCGATACGATCCCGTTTTCTCTTGCGTACGGTTGGTTTGTGTCATTCCTATTTCGCACGCCCTTGTTTGGGATTCTTCTCGCATATAGCGATGCTCCGTCGACTTTCATGTCTGTGGATAGCACCACGTGAGTCGTGGAATGGTGGAGGCGCCTGATACTCGTTATACTCGTGATACGGAGAACTCCGCGAAGTTACCGTGAAGTTGCCGCGAAGACACGCTGCCGCGCGATTGGCTGTCATCTATTTCGTTCTTTGTTCGATGACGCGTCGGGCTTCTCACTCGTGAGAGCTGCTCGCTGGTACATGGTGATGTCAGAAGTCTAGCACTAGATTGCGTTTTTTCTTGATACTACTTTTCCTCTTAGTATTTTCTCGTAATTTTTCTCCCTCAGAATAGTCGGGCGCTTTTTCGATTCCAGGTTAGATTAAGCATGGCCGATGGTGGGTATAACGGGCAGAATCGTAACTGTTATAATTGTGGTCTATACAGCCATTTTGCTCGCTGGTGTCCTTATCCGCCACGGAGTAACAATTACGCCGGTTCTCTGAGAACGGACGGGTATGTGGCACCTAGACCTGCGGGCAATGATGCCCAGATGAGAAACGATGGTTTTGTTCATGGGAGACCGATCCTCCCTCCTCCTCCTGTTCAGACACCTGTTCAACCTGCTGCTGCTCCACCTCATCCACCCCCGCTCCTACATGCTCCACCAGCTACCGCTGGCGCTATTGTTCCGTATCAACCTCAGCAGCAAGCAATTGTTCCGTATCAACCTCAGCAGCAAGCAATTGTTCCTTTCCAGCAGCCTCCACCACGTGGGGGTTCGAACGGTAATGACAGCGCGACTGGAATAGCAGGCCACGAGATGGTGAAGGCGAAGGATTAATGATTCTACGGGAGATTTGGAACGAAAGGAGAGAAGAACGAGAGAGGAGATGTGAGGAAGAGGATAAAAGAGCAAGAGAGGAACAGGCGAGACTGACCAGAGAAGAAGAACAGTGACGGATTGACGCTGAAGAAAAGCGGGAGGCGGATCGTGAAGCAAGGCTGGCCAAGATTGTCTGTGAACAGATGGAAGAAATCGAATCCAAGAAACAGAAGGACTTTGCTGAAGCCAGCAAGAAAGGGTGGGACAAGGTCGATCCCCCCATCAAGGAAGGGGAGAGTAGTAAGAGCGACGAAAGCAGTGAGAGCAAGAAGCGTGACCAGGATACCATGGCTGGGAACCCAACCAATCCTCAGCGAGCGTCCATCGGCAAGCAACGTGTAGAGGGTGCTGCGGCCGCGTTAGATACAGGACTGATTAGAATGGACATTGATAGTGTTAGAAGGACGCAGAAAACGCAAGTTGTGTTGTTTCGCCAAATGTTGTCCTGTCTGGAAGCAATTAGACAGCAGGGTGCAGGGTTGGTTCCTCCTCAGATACCGATTCGGCAGAGCGCAGGCGTGGTTCCTCCTCTGAATCCGAACCCGCACGCTTCCTATGTTGCTGGCTCTCAGTCTCATCCTCAACCCCCTCCTCCTGTTCATCCGC